TTAATCCCTCGGGTGGGTTCCTCCTTGGTTTTCACACAGCTGAATAAACATCAAACAGAAAACTGATTAAACAGAAGTGTGAGATGGTCGAGAATTTACTCCAGTGTCCTGTTATATTTTAGATAACAAGGAGCAGACGGCCGAGTTTATTAAACTCCACCGAGACACCGAGGCTAGACCGTCCAATTCCACGGCTGTTTACTTCCGGCCTACCCGACCTCCTGAGGACCCGGCCCACGTAGACCGCGAAGGCCGGGTCCTCAGGAGGATGCAGCCCATGAATTTGGACACGACCATGGTTTTAGTAACGCAGTAATGCAGCGTTCCTACGGGAAAGTAACGGTAATCTAATTACCGTTTTTGCAATAGTAATCCCTTACTTTACTCGTTACTTTAAAAAAGTAATCGGATTAAATCTCCAACATAAACTCTGCTACCTTTAATATTCCTAATATTTTGATAACGAGGGATTGTAGCAGTGTCAGTATAAGAAAAGAGGCTCAAGTCGTGAATTCAGTTCCCCATTAAGTGATTCGGTCAGACTCTCTGTTGCTGGTTAAAAATAACAAATACAAGTATGGAGTAACTCTTGGAACAAAGCGGATACGAATAACAGTGACGTAAAATAAGAGATTACTGCATTTTCATTTTTATCATTGGTCCTTTGATTTTTTTTAAAAAAAAAACTGTAACAAAGTTACTGAAAGAGTTTTTCAATCATAGCTTTAAACTTAGTTAATTGTTGTATATAAAAACAATGTATTAAAGACAAAAATGTTTACTTTATAGTTTTTAGTCACTTTATTTATCTGATATTTTTACTGCTTTCTTTATTTTTGGCCATTATCAAAAATGCTCTCAAAGCCCACTGTAGCAAGGAGCAATCGGACAGTATTAGAGGTTAGTTATTGGAGACTGTGGAGCGTTTAGCAATGAAAGAATCAAATTTAGAGTTTGCAAAGACCTAAAAGAGTGAATATTCATTCATTAAATCATAAGAAGCATAACAAAAAATGTTAATGCTGGTCCATAACTGCTAAATGTGTAAACAAGAAACTAAGTGTTGTGTTTGATTCTGCTTCCTTCTTAATCCTGGTACCTTTTATTCCGCAGTGAGACTGCAGACACCCAGCATCTCCCTGACCTCTCCTGGTGCAGGTCTGGTCTGGGGTCCTGAAGGTGCAGAGATCACCAGGGGTTACAGTTTTGTCCTCACCTGCTCCATTAACTCCAGTTTTTCCAGTGGACGTTTCATCCTCATCTTCTCTGACTCCAACATCCTAGACAGCAAGCCAGCAGTCAACAACGCAGCCTCCTTTAGTTTCCCTGTAGCTGAGTATGAACACCAAGGCAACTACAGCTGTGTGTATGTCACAGTGTCCACACGGACATTGAGTTCTACTGCAACAGCACCCATTACTGTCATCATTAAATGTAAGTATACTATTGAATTTATGTATTAAAAATTAGAACAACATATTGTGCACACTGGCCACTCTATTCCCTATTTTTCCCTTATGGATTTTCTCTGTTTGAAAGTTTACCAAACAAACAATACCAAAAAAACCCAAAAACAAACGGGTCTTATAATTTCAGTTATTTTTGATTTATTTCAAGAGCTTAGTTTTTTTTATTTTTAATAGTGGGAGACAGAATTAAATATTAGACATGGGCATGAACATTGTAAACTCGAGCTCTTTTAATTCCCGAAAAAAGTCTTTAAACTGCATTTCAATTTAAATCACAGAAAAAAAGTCTCTGGACAAAATTGGACAGACCTAAAAATAAAGTGCTTCAAGTACATTTTCAAAATGGTATTGGTTATTTGACCAGCTTCACCTTTAAACTCAGAGGAACCTTAGCCAAAATTATTTTGTACATTAGGCTAAAATAGTGTGATCATCGAACATTTTAGTGCAAAAATAACAAATCCTCTGGACTCGCACTACTTCCATGCTCATTTACTGTCCATCTCTTTCAGCCAGTTACTTAGACAAACTAGCCTGTTCACATTTTCAGAGCTCAAGGCAGCTCTCTTTTACTTTCCAAGAAGCTCAGTCAAAAACCTGTAGTAGACTTTTCAAAAAAGTAATTATTAATCTACACAATAACTGTCAACTATAGAGCTTTTTGAAGAAACAATAACAATAAGTAAAAAGAAAAGTTTTATTTGCCTGCATTACATTGCAATTAGATGGTACAGCTCTTATCAAGGCTTCTGTCAGGTAGTCTTTTGAAATGAAATTTTCATTTTTCACATCAAGTTTTATTATTTAGTTAGTTTAAGTGAACTATAACAACTTTAGGGGAAATGAGAGGGTAAAGAGATAGTCTAGTATTTCTTTAAGTTGTTGAAGATGTTTCACCTCTCATCCGAAAAGCTTCTTCAGTTCGAAGGTCAAATGGTGGAGAGTCCCAAATTTAAACCTAGTGGGAGTAACCCCCCACAGAGGGACCAAAGGACCCCCTGATGATCCTCTAATCGCCTGAGCCAAGTTGTGAAACTGGGCGTGGGTCCCAATCAGCCAGGGTTTCGGGTGAGCTCATTGTGAAACCTGGCCCCACCTTATCATGCGAATTCCTGAGGTCGGATGGCCCAGGGTGTGAGTGGGCGTTAAGGCGTCTGGGAAGGGATCTCAAAACTGGATTATAGATGGCAGAGAGTTGGTGTCGTAAACCCCCGCCTCTGTTCAAAGATGGTCGCTCACAGTGGACATAGATGGCTTCTTTCACTCCTCTTTCAAACCATCTGTCCTCTCTGTCCAAAATGTGAACATTGGCATCCTTGAAAGAGTGTCCTTTATCCTTAAGATGCAGATGGACTGCTGAGTCTTGTCCTGTGGAGGTGGCTCTTCTGTGTTGTGCCATGCGTTTGTGAAGTGGCTGTTTGGTCTCTCCGATGTAGAGGTCTGTGCATTCCTCGCTGCACTGTACAGCATACACCACGTTGTTAAGTTTGTGTTTTGGAGTTTTGTCTTTCGGGTGAGCCAGTTTTTGTCTGAGCGTGTTGCTGGGTCTGAAATGCACCGGAATGTCATGCTTGGAGAAAACTCTGAGTTTTTCTGATACACCGGCTACATAGGGGATGACAATGTTGTTGCGTCTGTCCTCGATCGCTGGTGTCTGATCTTCTTTTCTGTGCCTCTTTGCTGACTTTAAGAAAGCCTAATGAGCTGCTGGAATTACTAAAGAGGCTCAGTGTTTTGTAACTGAAAATTGTGAACAGGAGTATTTTTGCAGCTGGCCTTATGGCATATCACTTTAACAACCTGCTCAACCAAATAGTCGAGCACATTTATATTTCAATAAGAAGAGTGCCTAACTTCACTCCAACTAACTGAGCCATCTCTACTACTTAGTTAAGGTATGCAGTGCTGAAATAATCCACCAGATGTCACTGTGAATGTAAATGGTTGGTTCTTCTTATCCCTCTCCCAACCAGGAAGTGAGAAACCAAAAAACCACCTAACATATTTTGAGTGTTTTTGATTAAACTAAGGTAGGAAGGTATAATGGTTTGGATATGTGATAGTGGTAGAGGACTTACTGAACAGATTTATGTGACTTGATAACATAAAAAAAAAATTCTTAATGTGTAATCATATTTTGTGCTCAAATTTGTCACTTTATGGTGCTAATGCTAACATTAACCTAAATGTTATTAAATGTATTATTTGCCATAAAATAAACACATCTGGACCCATTTTGTTTATCCACTGCTGTTGATAAATCACATTAAGTGTTAGCGTAGCAAGAATATGCTGAAAGAATTTCCGCAGTAAGTAAGTTTTGTAACTTTCTGAGTTAATATGGAAAACTCAAAAAGTTACAAAATTAAAAAGAATAATATGGTAAAAATCAAGAGTAACATGTGAAAATTACAAATATGACAACTAATTACCTTTTAACTAAATTACACTAGCTGGTAACTTAATATTACTAAGTTGTCAAAATTATAATTGTATACTTTACAAGTACTAGATGGGCGCTGAACAATTGAATGGCTCATAACCACATGCTCCAGTGGTGGATTCGTGAGTGGTGTCTCCTGATACCATCCACTTTCAAGCACAGTGTGTTTGAGGTCATGGTCTCACATGAAGCCACAAGGGCTGCCACTCTCCGCCAATATATTGCCAACAAACTGTTTGAGTGGGGTTTTAAATTGTTCTGCCAAGTTCATCTGGATTATCGATAACTTGCTGCTGTAAGGCAGATCCACATTCTTCAATGCTTCCCTCAGTGTAGAGGAACAGAAGCTTCCTCTAGAAGCCAAAGTTGTACAAAACATTGTGCAAACCCATAAAAGAACCACAGCTCTTCACAAGTTTCAGCTTGGTCCAGAAGTTGCACTCCTCCTTGGGTGTCAGGTGCACTGGTACTCTATGACCAAACTGCGCTGGGTGGAGCTCCCCTGATGGCAGGCAAAGACCTAATGAAGAAGGGCCATGGAGGTCTGAAGAAGGTCTGATTGCAGTAAAAAGGTTTGACAACAAATATGTCAGCCTTCTAAGCAATGCCTGTGGGTTCATGCGTCTTTCATCTGTTATAGGATGTAGCAAAGAGTCCAACGCAAAGATCACCATTTCATGCTCATCACTCATCCCTGCAAATAAGTAGCATATGGACAGAATTGACTTTTTTCAACTGTATTTTCTACTGTACTTGTATTAACATTACATTTCATAGGTAAACCATTAAGTGACATCTCAACTATTTGGTAGAGATCAATATTTTAAAATGGCCTGTATTTATATAGCGCTTTACTAGTCCCTAAGGACCCCAAAGCGCTTTGCACACACTGGTGATGGCAGTTTTTAAAAACTATAGGGTCTTAAAAAAATATTGATTGTGGCTATTACTGACCCAAGTCAATAAGAAATGCAAACCAGTGGTCCTCCTTGGGCTCTTGCACTCTGGGGCCTCTGGAAGTCTGGGGCCTGGATCTCCTCCATGCCTGCTTCATGCCCTGGGGGACGGGGCTATGGCTCCCCACACCCTCTAGCAGATCATTACACGGAGAAACCTTTTGAATACAAGCGCACTGATCCACACAGGTGTGCACACAGGTGTACACACGGGTGTTAACTGTTCATAGACACAAACCACATCTTCCTTGGCTGATACCTCAAAGCACATTGTGCGCTGTCAGTCCTGCGTGCTGCACAACAACAATCATTATTTAGTATTTACTGTTATTTACACTTAGCTGGATTAATGAGATGGTGTTGTGTTTACTATGCTGCTTTCTTTTTTGCTTGTTTTCTCTTTCTCCTTTTCCTATCCCCCAGCCATGTCTGTCCCATCTGTAACAACTGAAAATAAAAATAAAATAAAATTAATGACAATAACAACAAAAGTTGATCAATTGGACCAATATGGCAAAGCCGTGATGATCCACTTGGTAAAGTAAATCCGTTGGGTATCTTTGTTGGCCTTCAGACAAACAAAACCAAACGGGACAGGCAAAAAACCAAACAAACAAACAAACAAAAAAGAAATGCAAACAAAAAAAATTTCCATTGCTTTTTTTCTTGGTGGGTTAGCTAAAGGGATATGTAGTTGTAAGAGTTTCACTTTCAGGAGCAGAATTGAAAATTGAAAAGTCTGCATCACACAATCTGTTGCAAATTGCACAAACGCTGAAGCTCAAGTCAGATCGTCCTGTCATTGCAGCATCGCAGTTCCTGGGCTGCCTTTCCTCATAACAGCCATCCCTCAAGCTTCTCTTCATTTAAAGCAATGCATTATCAGAGATTGTAACATCTAGTCCTTTTACTGAATTGGAAAAATAGATAAAACAAAGATTATAACATTAGAAGACAAGATAGAAGGACCAGAACAGGAACGTAAACAGGGGTTAATAAACTAAAGCATTACCTCAAATGGGGAACTTAAGGCACAGATAACAAGAAATTCATAAGCACAAGGAAAGTAAACATAATACAATAAATAGAAGGTAGTGGAGCTTGAATGTAAACCGTTACCCTAATCCTGTATCAGGCTTAGGTAGATAAAGCATACATACATACACCAATAAGAACGATTCAAAGATAATCAAAAATAAAAAAGGAGAGAAAACCAAAACATCCCCAAAACCCTGAGTCAAAGATGCAGGGACAACAATAACTCATGCAGAACCACTTTCTATCTTGCATATTTGACAAAAACCTTTTCTCTCTTAGTTCCTTGGATGCGGCTGGTCTTGTCTGCAGTTACTGTGGTCCTGTTGCTCCTGCTGGTCTTGTTGGTGGTCTTCCTGCTGCTCAGGAGAAGGAGGCAAACACAGCTGGGCTACATCCACAACAGAAGTCTGTGCTCACCAGAACAAACAATATATTACATGAAAAAACAACAGCTTTGTTTTGAATATGATGTTCACATGACAGAAATCTGCTCTGTTGTCTTTCAGTGACTCTAACAATCTGTGATGAAGATGATGACGTCAGTGACAAAAGATATGGATTCTGAGAGACTGAACACCAAAGAAATCACACTGAACAAACAGGAGGAGCAGAGAAAGAGAGAAGAAAAGCAGATGGAGATCAAAGCAGTAGTGATGAAAATGATCATGTATTTGTAACTCGATCATTTGATGAACAAACTGTGGACCTTTGTAGAGAACAAGATATTTATCAAAATTATTCTGCTTGCAGCCCTTTTGAGCAAGTAACAAGTGACAACAACATTCTTCAAATCTCCTAATAAAGATTGCTCTCCCAAACTGAGTGATGGCACACCCCTTTTTTTCAGGCCAAGTCATCCTGAGTTAGAAAGACTTCAGTTTGGCAACTAGAAAAACAAACAAACAATTATTTTTCATTTGTTCCTGAATTTCCTTGGATCATGGAATGATGTCTGCTCCGCTTTGTCAGGCAGGTCCTATTTAAGTGATTTCTTGATTGAGAGCAGATGTGGCAGTAATCAGTCCTGGGTGTGGCTAAAGAAACTGAACCCTGCTAGTGATAAATACATTAAGTGTCATCTAACAATGCTCCAAAGTCACATGTCAGGAGTGTTTCACGTGTTCCCTCTTCAAGCGCTCCAGAGAGGTCACAAGCATTCTCGCTTTTTAGATTACATAACTGAGTGGGTTTGTAATTGTAACACAAAAAGTCAATATGAACAAAAGGACGAGCCATCCATCCAATCACGGGCAACTCTGCTGAGAAGATGATGTCTAACGATATTATATATGTATTATTCTTAGATTGATTTAATAAGTATTTTTTTTAACTATTTTCCTACCTGACAAATTTCTAATATTTCCAAACTAATTTTGAAAAAGTGTTTTGTGAAATGTGATGAAAATTGATAGACTGTCCCAGTAATAGTGAGTTAATAAAAAAAAGAGTTTGTTCTGTTTACAGTGTTAACAAAACCTATTTAAAATTTTGCATTCCTAAACAATGAAAGTTAATGTGCAATGACAGCTGTCTAACGAGAGCAGGGATGTCGAACTTGAGGGCCGGTGTGCTGCAGGTTTTAAATCTCACCCTGGGTCAACATGCCTGAATCATTCAATTAGTTCATTACCAGACCTCTGGAGAACTTCAAGACATGTTGAGGAGGTCATTTAGCCATTTAAATCAGCTGTGTTGGATCAAGGACACATCTAAAACCTGCAGGACACCGGCCCTCGAGGACTGCAGTTCGACACCTGTGAACTAGAGCATGGGTCTCAAACTCCAGTCCTCAAGGGCCGCTGTCCTGAAACCTTTCCATGTGTCCCTGCTGCAACACACCTGCATAAAATCTGTAGGTCATACTGGATGCCGAGGCGGCAACCCCTAACCCTACTCAACTAAATTTAAATAAAAGTGTAAGTTTAAAAAAAACAAAAAAAGAAGTACTTCTAAATCTACTTTTATTGCACGTTCATTCCCTCATGAGCTGCTGTGACATTATTCAAATGGCTGAAATGCCACCTCAGCATGCAGCGAGGTTCTATAGAGTCTTACTGACGACATACTAATTGTATTCAGGGGTGTTGCAAGAGGGACACATGGAAACGTTTCAGGACACCGGCCCTCGAGGCTTGGAGATTAACTCCTGTGAACTGGAGTAAAGTAAGACAAAAACGTTATTGGGCTGTGTAACATGGAAATGAGTATAATGGAGTGATTCAAGTCAGTCCAATGGTCTCCTCCCATTTGGGGAAACTTAAAGGGAGGAGTACAGGAGACACTGATGTAGAGTGTCCAGAGACACCACACACAAAGACAGAGACAAGAAAACAGTGAAAGACAGCGAGAAATTGAACACAGAGGGAACTAACTAACACAACTTTACAAGTCATCAGTGACTGAAACCAACAAAAAAATGAAGACTCAGTATTTCAAGGAATACAAAAGAGAACAAACTCAACAAAACAAAACAAAAAAACAATTAAAGAAGAAAGAAAATAAAGACATCTAAACCTCAAAAAACACAAGGTACTTAACTAAGGTTACAACTCTTACAAATAGTAAACTATTTGTAAGGCTAACTAAAGAAAAACAAAGAACCCAAACCAAGAGAGAGCCTGTAATACTAAACCCAAAAGACAGACTAAACATATACAGAGGACACAGGGGAGTCATATTAAACAACAAACAAAGAGGAATATGGACAATACAGTCACAGTTAATGGAAGCTGACTGTGTGGAGTGAGGAGTAGGACCCAAGGGCAGACATGCGAGAACAAAACTCAATGTTAACAGAAAGCGAGACGTTTATTAAAGGCAGGTTTTAACAGCCCAAAACAAAAGCGTGAAATCAATTCAAAGCTAAACAATAATCTAAAATTAGGAAAACAAGAAGGAAAACATGAAATACCCTAAACATGACAACTGGGCATGCATGCATACATGAAGACCTAGAAACATGTCATGACGTAGCAGACACTTGGACATGAAATGAATGAAAACACAGAGGATAAATACACACAGGAGGTGATCAGGGGGAGTGGAAACACATGAGGAAACAGCTGATACGAATGAACTTGTATTTCATGAACTGTGTCTTTACTTTTGTAAAGTGTCATCATATTTACTATAAGTGTGTCTGAGTGTACAGATGCATATGTGTCCATCTATGGTCAACAGAAATTCAGTTGCTCATCTTGCAGCATCGTTAGCCAGATACATAAAAGTATATACACATTCATATACACGTGCACACTAAAGCAGCTGCACTGTGAAACTTTAACCACTAGCTTCTCCTTTCCTGGCACTGAACCACCTCCTGTCTGTGAACTTTCTGTGAAAAACCAACACTGATCGTCTTTACTTCTTTGACATTTTCCTGAATATACAGAAGCAAAAATGTTATCAAACCCTTTAATGAATTAAAGATCACGTTTTAGTTATGAGTGTTTATTATATGGAATCACGTGTTGTTTTCAGTCATTTAGTTTATTAAAAAGAAGAGGAACAGTTGGGTTTCAACTTACCAGCTGCAACATGTAAAGCTCAGACCTGGGAAGCTGGTGGAGGATAGAAAAATAAAATGAAGTAAAATGCTCAAAAATTGCTAGAAAACATCAGGATAAAATGTTTTTATTAGTTTTTAGAAATGATTGATTAATTACACCGTAGATTAGAGCTCTGTTACTGTGTCTTTTATTTTTTATGTTTTTTGTAATTTTTTCATTTTCTATTTTTTTTTCTTTTTTCAGGCAGAGAGAGTAATGCCAACATTCAATTTTCTTACACATGATACCTCAGAAGTTTTGATGCACATACATTCACACTGATGTACATAAATAAATCAGGTGCATATAAAGGAAAAGGTTTGTATGTATTTTCAAGTCCAGAACTGGTAAATGTGTTATTTGAGTCCTGCAGTTTGCTTTTGTTGTTCAGTATTCGTGCTCTGTTACTTTCAAGTAAGAAAAAAAGAAAGAAAGAAATCAAAAGGAGAAGCGTTTCAGAAGGATAACCAGTGCAAAGTGTTTTTGTAAACCACAGGTTTTAGTTCAGGTTTCTGTCATCTGTTCTCATAAATGACATGAAGCAGCAGCCTTTCTTCTCAGTCATGGAGGGCAGAGAGAAGAGAGCGCTTCATTTCCTGATTCTTGGTAAAACAGATTTTCCATAATTTTCAGTGATTTTATTTATCTATCACAGGGACAGTCTGGATAACTTTACAACAACTTTTCTTAAATTATTTTTAGACTGAATAACTTTATGTCTTGATAATATTCCATGTTTTCATTTTCCCATAGTTGCTTATCTCGTGGTGTCACCTTCACCTTCTGCAGGTCAGTCTGTTCTAACCTGTCATACTTACATTTTTAATTTAAAGCCATTTTTGCAATATAGTTCATATTTTCTTTTTCCTGGTAGGTCAGATCAGATTAGTTGGATCTCGGTGCTCTGGAAGAGTTGAAATCTATAACTCTTACTCTTACTCTTACTCCTATGGAAGAGTGTGTGATAATGGCTGGGACTTAAAAGATGCCGAGGTGGCCTGTAGAGAGCTGAACTGTGGGATAGCTCTGCAGGCCGGTAGGTATGCTTACTTTGGTCAAGGTACAGGAAATTTCTTCCGCAGTAATGTGGACTGTTCAGGAAGTGAAATTTCTCTAGATTATTGTAGGTACATCAGCTCTATTAGTTATTCCTGTAACTTTGGTCGGGACGCTGAAGTCGTCTGTTCAGGTAAGAAAACTTTTCTATGGTGTTTATGGTCTTATCACTTTATAATAGCTGTTTTGTTCATGTACTTGTCAATACTTAGATTCTAGTTAGTTCTCATTCCATCATATTTTACTTTCGCAGAAAAGATGTTCAAAGGTGCTGTTTTATTACACTCAATCTTTCTGTTGAACATGTTTGCAGTTTGATGCATATTTAATGAGATAACTGATTCGCATAATTAAACATACCATGTTAACACGTTTCTTACTGAAGGCTTGTGAAGAACTTTGAGCTCAGACTTGACTTAAAGCCTAATTTACAGACTTTTTATCTTGAAAAAGTTTGCCATCCTAAGATCCTAAAAATGTGACTGTTGACAGTATTTTTTAATTCATGTGGAGTTAAGAGAAAGTCATTTTTTCTTTCAGGCAGCAATGTGTGCAGCACAGCATTTTCAGTGCTTGTCCAAAAAAAGTGAACTCTTTAATTTTTAGCAGCAATAACCTCCAACAATTGTATTCAAATAGCAGCAGGGTCCAAAAAAGCTTCCACTTAAGCCCCTCAAGTATTTGAGGTTTTTCATTTGCATACATAAAATGGTATCAGCTAAGCCATCAGCCACTAAGATTATCTGATCAGATCTTGACTGTGTCCTGTCTTATCTAATACTGTATCATTTCTTTAGATACCCTCCCAGAGCCCACCATCTCCTTATACAGTAATGAGGTCACCTGGGGTCAGGACGTCAGCATCACTTGCTCAGTTTCATACAAGTTCTCAGGTGGAACTTTTATCCTCCAGAAGACTTCAGGCTCATTCAGCCAGAGTCAAACATCCTCTATGAGCTCTGTTACATTCAATCTTCACAATGTGAACTTTGATCACGATGGACTGTACGAGTGTCAGTACATGAAAACAAGTCGAAGGTTCAGCTCTTCCCCTGTCAGACTCTCGGTTACTGGTAAGAAAAAAAATCCACTTTGCCAAGTTCTTTGTTTCATTCTCTTCTTTCAGTAACAGAATCAGTAACCTGGTGAGATAATGCTTTGATATGTTGATATTTTTTCAGTGAGGTTTCCGAAACCTCGTATCTCCATTTGCCCTGTTGGTGAGGTGACCTGGGGTCAGACTGTTGAAATCACATGTTCAGTCTCAACTCAGGTTTTAGGTGGATCGTTCACTCTGAGTCAAATTCAGGGTTCATTCAGGAGGAGCCAAACCTCCAACACAAACTCTGCTACCTTCAAAATTCCTAACGTGGACTTTGATAACGAGGGATCTTACCAGTGTCAGTATAAGAAAAGAGGCTCAAGTCGTGAATTCAGTTCCCCATTAAGTGATTCTGTCAGACTCTCTGTTACTGGTAAGAAAAACAAAAACAAGTATGGAGTAACTCTTGGAACAAAGCGAGATACTGATAACAATTACATGAATAAGAGAGTACTGCATTTTTATCACAGATCCTTTGATTTTTTAAAAAAAACAACTCTGTAACAAAGTAATTGAAAGGGTTTTTCAATCATAGCTTTAAACTTATTTAATTGTTACATATAAAAAGAGTGTATTAAAGATGGAATCTGCTGCTCTATATAGTTTTTAGTCACTTTATTTATCTGATATTTTTACTGGTTCATGTTTTTTGGCCATTATCAAAAATGCTCTCAAAGCCCACTGTAGCAAGGAGCAATCGGACAGTATTAGAGGTTAATTATTGGAGACTGTGGAGCGTTTAGCAATGAAAGAATCAAATCCAGAGTTTGCAAAGACCTATAAGATCATTCATCAAATCAAATTCAGCATAACAATAATATGTTAATGCTGCTCCATACC